GAAACACACGGCGAACAAAGACACCCGCTGAACGGTGTAATAAAAAAAAAAAGGAAAAGGAATCGGAAATAAAAATAATATTTAAAAAAATAAAGAACGAAGGGGGTGAGTCTGGCTGAGAAACTACCGAGACACCCGCTATACAGAGCTGCGGCTCGAACGATCGAAAAAATATCCTCTTTCTATCCGATCATCCGTCAACACTGGATGACGCGTATTATATATAATATATATACTTTATATGTAATATGTATTAATAATATACCTCGACTTGTTCGGAGCTGCGACTTGAGCATATCTTCGTTTAAAAATGGCAACGATTGACAAGAAGTTTTCGACGATTTCGAAGGGAACGAAAACGGAAGGGGGAAGAAAAGAAGAAACGCGAAGATAAAACAGGGATAGCTCGAGGAGCGATAGAGCAGGGGCGGAGGACGTAGAAGAGGAACCGCGGCCAAGTGAGAAAACCGAAGTCAGCATAAATATAAAACGAGAAAAGTGTTAAAAAATATAGAACGGATTAAAAAAAACGAGGTAAAACACGCTAAAAAATCGAGGAGCCACGCGGGTCGTGGAACGCGAGACGACCCGTCGTAGCAGGGTTTTCCGTTCCTCGGCTTTTTCCTCTTCTCGACGTCCAGGAAAAAAGACCGGGCCAACGCACCGGCGAGCGACCAAAGTGTCGTTTGCCCGGCCTTTTTTCCCCTTCCGAAACGACCAACCGCGAGAAACGAACAACGGAGACGTTTCCCGGTGAAAGAAGAGAAAAAAAGAAAAAAAGAAAAAAAAAAGAAGGAAGAAAGTGAAATGAAACAGAAGAACGTAATAAAAGGCACGTACCGAGCGCCCTCTCGCGAAGGACGAAGGTTCGCAGCTTCGCGACGCGCACGCTGGCGGCGTTGAGGTGCCGGGTCTAATGGCGGAACTCGCTAGACTCGCGTCCGCGAGGAAGGACGAGAATAAAGGGGGACACGGTGACGCGTGGAGAACGAAAAAGGAAAAGCGCGTGCTCTCGTTCTTCCCGATCGGATACAGGGTCGTGTAACCTTGGCGAGAGGGCGCGGTAGTGTGATAGCGATTAGATATATATACGCATGTGTGTGTATATATATATCTATGCGGTGTGATAATGCAATGTATAATATAATATAATTACGATGGTCGAAAGAAAGGCTAAATACACGAGTCGTCGATCCCTACAGTGAAAGATACATCGGCTTAGTCCTTCGTATTTTTTTTTTCTTTTTTTTTCGTTTTCTTTTTTTGTCGTTTTTTTCTTTTTTCTTCAAAGAGCGAGTTATTACTCGGATTATTACTTATGGGGGGGGGCTCGAAGAATACACTTACGGGGAGTGACGTCGGCCGCACAACCCCCCACGGGCGTCGACCGACCATGTTTTTTCTTTTTTCTTTTTTTCTTTTTTTTTTCCTTTCCACTCTTTCTTTCCCTTAGTTCTCGGTTCTTTCAGCGAACACAGGGAGGAGCCGGTTCACGCGTTCCCGCGATGCGCCGTTATAACCTTAAAACGCGCTTTGTTTCCCTTTAAGCGCTGTCCCCCCCTCTCTCTCTCTCTC